AATTAAATTGAATTAAAAATGAGGGAGGGGGGTTAGAATAGCAGATACGCCCAGTTAAAATCCAGATGGGCCAGGCATCCAGGGGTGTTGTTAGCAAAGAGAACAAGGCCCAGCAAACTTCAGAATTGATGAGACAAAAGAAGGACGCTAGGGGTGAAAATAGCAACAAAAACACGTTCAAACTGACTTTGGGCTTGGCAGCTGGGGGTGGGGATAACAATATAATCTGAGGCCCGCCCGTTTCAATTAATGAAACGGTGCGTTTTGGCACCAACTCAATTTCCCTCCCAAAATCAGATTAAATGTGAGCCCTCGGATCACTCTATTAGTCAAAAGTCATACACGAAATGAACGGACCAGATTATATCTTCTCCAATGGTTCTGAACTTAGGGTTTCAACCTCCATGAAACTCCATGCACGAGCAAGCTTCCACCCCTCTGTTTTCCATTACCAGGCCATGAATCAACATGCTATAAACATGAAAAATATTCTAAATTCCTCCCTCTACAATCCTATGGCATTAGATTGATTTGAAACTCACCACAACAACAAACCCGATCGAAGCAAAATCTGGTCACCATGAAGTTACTCTGAGATGCACCATCACAATTCTTCATCAAACTTATCCTAATCTAACCTATAACTAATGGTGATTAATCTGCGCTATCAAGCTAACATTCTAATGCATTCTACTACAAGTTCTACCTCCTAACAGTTTATGGCACCTGCTAACAATGGTCTCTATTCAGCCTCAAATTCATCTAGACTAATCTCCTAACCACCTAGATCAAATCTAAACTAACAACAACATGCTAAACCAACTAGATCAAGCTGTGTGAATGAAAACTCACCTGGTGTGAAGTCTTGAAAACAGCTATGGAACTCGTGGATCTGAAGCTTCTAGGTTTTGGATCTTGATCAATCCTTGATGTACTTGATTCTGTTTGCAAGATTTGGATGAGACTTGGCTTGAATTATGCTGTCCAATGGAATTTGCAGTTTTGATGTTCTTGAAGATAGTGCACGAAAATGGATCCTAATCACCAAACCTTTGCTTCAATTCTGATCTAGGATGATGATTGAATAAGATTGAATTGATTTTGATGATGATTTTGTGAAGAATTTGAGGAATTGGAGTGAAACTTCAAAGAGAAAGAATGAGAAAGTTTGTGAAATTCTTGGTGAAAAATGAAGCCAACCCTTGATCAATGCTCATTTCATGAATATATAGACCTCATATGAACATTCTAGATCCATCTTACACATTCCCTTGCTTTCCAACTTTGATCCATTTTGGTTATGTTTCTTCAATTACAAGTAACCAAAGATAACTTTCTTTTTTCCTTCTAAACTCAAAAAAGTGTTTGAACCATTGTTCTTAGAATTGCTTTTCCATTCAAAATCATATATTGGAAGTCTCCATTTGGACTTAGAAATCTCCCAAACCATTTTCCATCTTGAATTTATTCACTTTATAAGCCATTTTAGTTCATATTTTGACCAATTATGCAACTTCATGTTATGAGCTTCTCCAATAATTTGTGACCTTCTTTCTAGACTTAAAATCCCATTTGGAGCAAGTTTTATGTTGTAAGTTTTTCCATTTGAGGCCTCCTTGTATGAGTTTTGGGTATAGGTTAAAATGACCTGTAATTCACAAATGCCCAAAATACCCTTTGCTTGCCAAGACCATAAGTTGAGCTCCACACATCATATGAAGGCATGCCATACCATTCTAGAAAGCTAAGACAATGAGGAACAATTCTTATGTTGACCAAGAATTCATTCGAAATCTCCTTGAGGGGTAAAACTAGCTTGGAAGTCAAGTCACTTTCACAGACAAAAATTCAGATACCTCAGATGACCTGTAACTTGCAAGGACCATAACTTGAGTTCTATAAATCTCCTTGAGGTCTTCCACCACTCAAATTAAAGGTCTTGGGATCCTCTACAAGTTTCATGTTGGCCAAGAAGCCATTTGAAGCTAGCATTTTGACTTATCTTGCTTGGAAATTTGACCTAAACTAGGGGATTTTACAGAGAAACCCTAATTTAGAAACTCCTCTTCTCCTTGATTTCTCCTGAATTCTCCTTGGCATATCTCCATATCCTTCTTTATATGTCCAATGATGAACCCCACATCTCTCCAATAGACTTGAATGCCCTTTAAATCAGTCAATTGACCTAGGATTGACCTAGGGTTGACCCAGATGAAACCCTAGTTGACTGCCTTCAGTTATAGCTCTTGTGCTCTCATCAATGACTTGTCTCCTTCTTCAAATGACTTTCTAAGTCTCTCATAATGTCTAGACACTCTCCATGCCTCCACTTCACAGCTCACAACCCTCTTGTTGACCCTCAGACACCCTCAGCTAGGAGATGGACTCAAGGCTTGATCTGCTGAGCTCTTTGCTTTCAAATTCTTTCCTGATGACTTGAATGAGATTGAATTGGGATAATAACCTCTTGATAGGCTTCTAGAGATGAGAATAATGATTGGTCCCCTGTTGAATGACTTGTTATGCTTATGCTATGCAGATGGTTAGTCTATGTACATGACTCTATATGCAAATGCTAATGACATTGAAACATAAACCAAGTGAATAAGGTTGGGCAAATTTTAGGGTGCAACAAATAGCACAGATTCGTCATCAGAACTTCTGGCTATATTTGCTTCTTCTGATTTCTTCTCCTTGTTTGACCAACAATCTCTAGCAAAGTGACCAAACTTCTTACAACAGTAACATTGGATCTTCTTCTTGTCATACTTCTCTTTTCCCTTCTGAGCATTCTTTTGTCTATCAGAGGTTGAGGTTTCTGACTTCTGACCACCATCAGATCTTCTCTTGGCTTCTGACTGCTTCTGATACCTCCTATCAGAAATTGCTTTCAGAGCCTGCTGCTCTACTTCCCTTTCAGAAGTTCTCTCAGTCAAACGCAACTCTTGCGCTTCTAGACTGCTCTGCAGCTCTTCAATTCTCATGGTGCTCAGATCTTTAGAAGGTTCTATTGCTACCACAATGTAATCAAATTGAGGAGTAAGGGATCTCAATACCTTCTCCATGATTGTTTCTTCAGAAAGAGTTTCTCCACACGCCTTCATCTCATTAGTGATCAGAATCACTCTGGAGATGTATTCAGAAACTTTCTCATTATTCTTCATGTTGAGATTCTCATATTGCTTTCTCAAGGACTGAAGCTTCACCTTCTTCACTGATGCGTCACCACCATAACATCTCACCAGAGTGTCCCATGCAGCCTTTGCTGTTGTAGAGTCTGCAATCTTCTCAAACACGTTTACATCCACACATTGATGAATGAAGAACAATGCTTTCTGATCCTTCTTCCTTACTTCCTTCTGCGCGTTTTTCTGTTCATCGGTTGCATCTGCTGCTACTGGAACATAACCATCAGTGACAAGATCTAGAACATCTTGAGCACCAAATAGTACACGCATTTGGATCATCCAACGATTCCAGTTTTTACCATCAAATACTGGAAGTTTGGTGTTCATGTTGCCGTTTCCGTTCATCTTCTACTTTGCACAATACACTCAGATTTCTCACACAGTGTTTCCCAACCCACAGAATAAAATTCTGATCAGATTTTGTTCAAGATTCAACACGAATCTAAAAATCAAAATCAAACACACAAGACCTCACGTTCACTCGTGTTTCCCGTGTTTCCCAATGAATCTGAACCGGAGCTCTAGATACCAATTGTTGGTGCAAAGATAGAATAAATGATGAAATAGGGAAATATTCTATTAAAGAGAATGACGGCAGAAGAAACAGGATTAAGAGTTACAATGATTGTCACCCTATTTATAGGCTAAAACTAGGGTTACTAGAATAAGATAAAATACTGAAATGTCCTCTAACAAACTTATGGGCTTAAGAAAATAATATAATAAAATATGAATTATTTTATTTATAGGCTAAAATTAGGGTTACTAGAATAAGATAAAATACTGAAATGCCCTCTAACAAATTTATGGGCTTAAGAAAATAATATAATAAAATATGAATTATTACTAATACATACTAGCATGCTACTCCTCTATGGATGTGCATAATAGGTATCTAATGATAAAATCTACTCCAATTAAAATCGGAATCTTCAACTTTACTATTAGTCATTTATTTTCTACCATTTTTTTCGACAATAAACGCGACTACTTATAGTAAATCACTATTAAACTGTCCTTAAAATCGTCAGTCTCTCTTTATATACAATAATTGGTCAAACTTACTTTTTCTACTAACAGAATAGTATTTTAATCACAACAATGTTTGTTAGAAGTCGATAATGATATCTTTCAAACTCTACGATGATTATAGTTAATTTAAAAATATCTCAATTCTAAGTAGAAAAGAGAATGGGTAGAAACTCGTTTAATCGACCAAATCTTATAAAAGTAAGAGAATGACTCATAATATCCTAAAACAACTCCCACGTACATAATTTTTTTCCCAAAAGCCTCTTTAGAGCCTGGCTAGTGAATTGTTTAATCCTTTCAAAAAGCTTCCTCCAAATTCAAAGCAAAAGAAAGTTCTTTTTGTGCAATCCACTCTTCAGCCCTCATTGTCACCATTGTTATAGTCTCTTGTTGAGTTGTTTAATTTATCATGCATGAATGTTACTGCAGGGTGTCCTGTTCCAAATTTCCATATTGAATTTTTAGGAGCTTACGCTTTTTTTTTTTTTGTCCAAAATGAACAAGAATGTCTTCACGGTACATCTGCGTAAACTTGAATTGAGAGAGACGTCTAGTCTCATGGATCTCAAAATTCATCATAATAAAGTAACGATCATAACAATTTTTTATTAGGGTGGTACAAGAAAAGAAAAAGAAGAACAAATATCAATCCAAACTTGATTACCATTATCCATATTATTGTTACATATCCATCATCATATTGATACATATACATCTAATAGACACCCATGTCATCACATTCACAACAACAACAAAAAACTAAAAATTAAAACCTCATTTTCATTTTCCAATTTTACCCCTAAGTTTAACACCTAAAACCCTCTCCATTTTTCCCAAAACAAGCTGATTAGGAACAGCTTTCCCATTCTCATACTCCTGAACAACCTGAACCCTCTCATTAATCTGTTTCGCCAGCTCAGCTTGACTCATCTTCTTATCCAACCGCGCTTTCTGTATCGTGTGCCTCACTTCCCCGCCGACCCGCTCCAACGCCGCCGGTTCAGCCGCTTCGTCTAGCTTCCTCGCGTTCAGAACCGGACCGGCGGTTTTCTTGTTCGAACCAGCGGTGGATTTCTTTAGCGTTAGGACTTCTGCTCCGGTTCGAAGCGCTTGGTTCACTGCTTTCGGGTTGCGGAGATCTTGTGCTTTCGGTTTTGATTTGTGGAGAACAACGGGTTCCCAGTCTTGTGCGATCGCTCCTGTTGTGCGAGTTGGCATTGTTACGCTTGAAAATGGAAAACGAGCCGAGATAGAAATGAAATTGCAATTGAAATAGAAAAAGAAATGAAAAAGTTGAGAGATGAGAAATAAATGAAATGGTTGTTGTTTATATAGGGTGATGAATGTATCTGGAACGTTCTATTATCTCATGGTGAATTCTATTGGCTTCGGGGTTTCTCGGGAAAGTTCTATGACTATTTTTTTTTTTGCGTGGCGTTCAATCTTGCTTGCGTGGAGAACAAGCTGAAACAAAAATGTCTTTATCATAGATTCGTAACAAAGATAAATGTATCATACTGTATTCATTTTAATCTATACCATTTTTTTTAAATATTTTAATTTAAACTTTCCACTATCTCATCATAAATATCCTATTTGTAATCTTTATTTATCTTATATCAAAATGCTTTTTTAATATCAATAAAATGTATTAATAAAATTTATTAATATAAATTTATTTATTATATTTTAATATATATAATCATATGTACTAATCATTATTGTTAAAGTTTCGATAAATTATTTTAATTGATAGTTGTAGAGAGACATCAAATATGAAAGCGTAAGTTTAAACATACGATATTTTACTTATTTATTTTTTAAAAATAATTTCAACTATTAAATTAATTAAAATATATATTTTATTATATAAATTTGTTTTTATTGACAAAATGACTTAACTACCGTAATAATTTTTTTAAACCGTGTATACAATAAATAACATTTAAAATAAGATAGATGAAGCATTATATATGATTTTGAAAGAAATTAATTGATATACATCGAAAAACTTTTATACCATAAATATATTATAATAGTTTATAGGTGATAGTAGGGCTGGCAATGAACCAAACTAACTCGAAGATAGTTCGGAATTCGACTCGACAATTAAATCGTTGAACTAGGTTCATGAACCAAATGAGTTGAGTATGAGCGAAAAATTAAGTTCGTTAACTAAATGAGCTGAACTTGAACTATACATAGTTCGACTCGTTAGGTTCATGAGTCAACTCGATTACATATGAAAAGAATTATACTGTCTTTAAGATTATGTTTAAATATTTACTTCAAATCTTAGACAAATTTAATCTTCAATTTAGTAGTTTTTGAATTAGACTCTCAAATGTATCTCTTGAAAGTTGTGTAGGTTTTGAATTAGTAGATTTCGAAGATAAAGTTAAATTTCAATATGATAACTTTTATTTTATTTTAATATTTTATTTAAAATATATTTATTTATTTAAAATGTCATATATACTAAAAAATATATATATTTAAAAAAATAGTTTTTAAGTTCGTGAACCATGTGAGCTGAACCTAATGAGATGAACCTAACGAGTCGAACCGAACTGTTCGTGAACTTATAACGAGTCGAGTTTGAGCTTAAAAAAAAGTTCGTGTCAAACTCGAACTCGAACTCGAATTCGAACAATTCTTAACGAGTCGAGCCGAGCTGAGGTGAGTTCGACTCGACTCGACTCATTTCCAGCCCTAGGTGATAGTTAAAGAAACAATTAGATACATATAAAAGTTTAACTATTATGATTAATTAACATTTGTAAAACTTCATGTATATTAATTAATTCTTTTGACAATTAATTTGTTGGTTTTTGTTAGAGTTTTGATTGTTTTATTTTAACTGGCTTAAGCAATTGGCATTTCAGTTTAAAATCATACATTTATGTTTTTCTAGTAATACTGAACTGAAAATGTCAATGCAAAAGCATATTGTAGCGATATATAATTATGTGTATGTTATTAATTAAATTATGAAATTGAATAATGTATAAAATTAAATTGAAATTTTTAGAAAGTTTTATTGCAAAATGTTAATCAATCTAAATCGTTAAAATTGTATGTCTTTGTTCAGTCTAAATATTTGCGTGAGAGACCAAAACCATTGTTTTGGCCCAGTTATAAAATTCAGTTGAGTATGATTCAGTCTATTAAAGTGTTTTTTAAAATAGTAATATTTTAAGAAGTTTATGGACCATCATATTAGATAATTATAAAATATCAACGGCAAGGTACTAGAGCCTCAGAGCAGAGGCCCATAAGAGGCTTGATATAGGTCGGTGATGAAGTGGTGACATACAACGATGAAAATCATATGAAATCATCTTTTCATTGTCGACCACACGACCATAGAAGATGCAAAACTCATTCTCCTATACTCTCCAGGTGCTCACATTCCATATCTAAATCATAGGAGCATCCAAGCATTTTTCATCATTGTAATCAGTATTGTTGTGGTTAGTTGAAAATATATATGTTGAAGAATTCTCATCTCGTTTAATTTTGTGAATGAAGAGACAGTTTGAGACTATATATAAGAAACAAGTTCTTCATTCCAAGATGCACCTGACAAAAACATTTTATGCTTATATTTGACTTTCTTTATTCTTTTATACTCTTGTATTAAAGTGTTGTGAGACGTAGTTAAATATTTGTTTGGGAGAGTGTAAGTGTATTGGGGTCTGGGTTAGTTTAGGGTATATTATGTGTTGTAACAATTTTCACATAGTGTTATTCTCTGGTTTTCTATTGACAACGGTCGTGTTTTTTCTCCAGTTTTAGAGTTTCCATGTTGTGTTATTGTGTTGTAATTGTGTTCCTCTTTTTTCTCTTTATGATTTGTTTGTTTTTTCTCAATAACTGGTATAAGAGTTTTTGGTTCGACCCAGGGATAAGTGTTCTTATTATGATTTGTGATTGCAGTTTTGTTATCTGATCTTCCACTTCAGAAAAGAAGGGTAGTGTTTTGAAAAGTTATTGAGTTGCAGTCATAAATTTTGTTGCGCAATTCGGGCTAAAGAAAATTGATGGAAGAATTTTTGTGACGTATGAAAAGTTTAAGTCAAATAAGTGTTGATAAAATAAAGATTACACAAGGTGCTAGATTATGTCGGGGGTTGAAGAACTTCCTACCAACAAGGAAGTTGCACCATAAGTTTTCAAATTAGTTTTTGACATGTGAAATTCATTAAGTGGTTTAACTACAAGTGAAATTTATTCTTTATGATAAAGTATATGATTGTCGTGGATGACAATGTGAATTTCTTGAAGTGGTTTATCTTCAAGTGACATATATTCTTCATGAGAGAGTATGATAGTTTTTAAAACTATGATTGTCGGTGAATACAATGTGAAAATTCTTGGAGTGTTATAGCTTTAAGTGACTATACTTTTTATGATGGAGTATGATTGTCGATGAAGACAATGAAAGCTTATGTATTATTTTCAATCAAGGTCGAAATTGTTGGGGTTAATTGAAAACATACATATTAAATAAGTTTTGCATCGCTTAGTTGTGTGAATGAAGAAAGAGTCCAAGGCTATATATAGGATACATGTTCTTTGAAGTTCTACGTCGATTAGTTTTGTGAAGGAAGAGGAGGTTCAATACTATATATAAGATTCAAGTTCTTCATTCCAAGATGCATCAGTCAAAAGCACTTTAAACATGTATTTGACTTTCTTTGTTCTCTTATACTTTTGTATTATAACATTGTGAGATGTAGTTAAATTTTTGTTTTGGAGGATGTAGATATACTGGTGGTTGGGTTAATTGAGGGTATATTATGTGTTATAACAATTTTCACATAGTGCTATTCTCTAGTTGTCTGTTGACAACGACCGTGGTTTTTCTCTGGTTTTGGAGTTTCCACGTTATGTTTTTGTGTTGTGATTGTATTCCTCTTTTTTTTCTATTCTTTGTTTGTTTTTTCCCAACAGGTATATCTCACTTTCCTATTCATGTTATAATTTCAAAATGAATTGACGACGAGATGAACAAATGGATGCTAAATCTTGAACTCCAACCAAGATCCAAATTTGCACAAGACATTGAGATCAGAGCTCCAAAAACTTTTAACAATTTTTTGGCGATGGCCAAAAATACATATAATATGAATAAAAGTTTGTTGATATCAAAGTCATTTACGAAGGAGCCACAAAAACATTTAAGGCAAACAAGAGGCCAACTGAGGAAACAAAGGGAATAAGCTCGGGTTAATAACATCGTGGGAACTTGGTGTTGGATTGAATATGGGAGTATAATGGTTTATAAAGGGTGTTGAATAGACATTTTCCCTAAAATGGGTTTCAAAAAGTTTTCCAAAAACCAGAATTCAAAATTTGTGCAATAGCAGAAGTTTAAAACTGTTTGAATAAAATAATTACGTAATTAAGTAGATATACGGATGAATACGATGATAATAGAAAGTTCGTGAATCAATTAAACAAAAATATGATAATTAATCTAATTTAAGTCAAATAATACATTTAAATAGATATCGATTAATTAGTAGAATAATCTACAGTTACAAATATTCAGAATAATCACCAAAGACAATGTTTAGCAGACAAAATATAACACAGACCTAAACTTAAACATTAAATTACTATAAGCAATAAATCCTAACATGAAATTCTAGAAAGTAATTAAAACCCATTAACATGCAAATTATGCATAAATTAAAAGAGATCGATAAAGAAAATTGTACACCAGATTTATACTAGTTCAATGTGTCGTCCTCGCTTACGCCTAGTTCAGTCTCCAATGGCAAAAATCGTTGAGAATTCATTAGTCTTCCATTATTTTAAAATTATTACAAGAGTATTTTGATATAATAGATAATCACAAACAAATTGAAAAACTTAAAGTTAACTACTAAACAACACAAATCTCGTAATATTTTATATTCTCTTAAATGCTAGTTTCTCTATTAAGTGAGACAAATTGAGTAATTAGTTAGCTAAAAAGATATTAATTCTTAATTAATTTCTCAATCTTTACTAATTAGTAAACAATGACAATTTGGCAGGGGGCGATGGTCGTTACTCAAATCAAGTTCACTAAATGACAAAGAACATTACTACATATTATACCAACCTCTCATTTTCTTCATTCATTCACATAGATAGTAAGAAGCGTGGGAGAGAAAGCTCTTAAAGGAAAGCTTGAAGAGGGAAAAAGGAAGAATGAAGAATTTCAT